TGGAGCCATTCGGGTCGTGAGAGATTTCAAGCAGACCAGGGACAGGGACTCACACCCCTTCACACCCCCTCGCGCCCTGGCTGGTGACAACTCCGAGGACGCCCCTGCAGGCTGGAGCCTCTGCATCCTACAAGCTGCCTTTGGGGTCATTTGACCAAATCCGAATTTTGGGATTTCATGGACCCAATTATGTTTAATTCGGGGAGCCTGATTTGGGGTGCCAACTCTTGAGTATACTCGAGTACGAAAATGAAATTTTTGAGAAAGGTAACATCTGCGACTGCTACCATCTCAGAAACCAAATTAGGAAGGTCAGCCAGCACCCAGACACGCCCCCTCTGCCCGCACGTGTGCGGAGCTGGACAGACAGGCGCACGGGCTTCCTCCTCACACTCTGCACAACTGTGCCACCTGCCTGAAGGATGCTTGTCGAGAGTGTCGGGCACGTAGGGTCTGAGGGGAGAAGGGGGCCTGCAGGCTTGACCAGGTGCCATGGGCACAGGGGTCCTGGGCCAGAGGAGCAGGACTGAGAGGTGTAGGGGGCAGCCCTGCCCTGCCCCAGGTGGGCACCAACACAGTTCCGTGTTCCTGAGCCTCACAGGTGCCTGGACAGCCCTGAACACAAACCTGTGATGGTGAAGGCCCCGAAGCACAAAGGACATGAGGGGCCTCGGCTGCCAACCACAGCTCGGGACAGCAGGTCCTTCGGGACACGGTGGTGCCGGCTGGTTGGTTCCATTTCCATGAGCTTCCCCTCCTTGCCTCACCAGGGAACTTCCTTACGCTCACATCCCGTGCCCCCACCCCACAGCAAGCATGTGCCGCCTGCCTAGGCAGCCACGGGCCGGGGAAGGGGACGCAGATGTCCCAGGAGGACGCTCTCCCGGGTAGGGGCACAGGACATACCCACGCTGGGCCAGAACCCACAGGCCATCGGGTCAGGCATGACGGGGACCTCTGGCTGAGTGGGGACGTGCTCACCTCGGCCATGTTGATGGAGCCCGCCGCCAGTGTCTTGTAGCCCAAGATCGTTCGGTTTTTGTATCGCTTTCTCCGCTGCAGCAAGATCTGGAGCTTGTTGCCTTCTCTCTTCAGGAAGTGAGGGTACTGCAGAGAAGGGGGGTCACGGCTGCCGTCTGTCCCAGTGGCCACGCCAGCGCAGCACCAACGAGCCCCGGAGGCTCACTCCTCGCTGGGCCGTCGGGGGCCTCCGTCGGGGACAGGAAAAGCCACTGCCGGCAGATGTGAGCAGCTGGCCAGGGCCTCTGGGTCATCAGCGGGGTCAGCCAGCAACCCTGCCCACGACGTGGACGGCAGGGGCGTGACCCCAAGGTGGTGCTGGTCCAGTGGCCCATCAGAGCACCACGGGGGCTTCTGCAAGAGCAGGGCTCGTGTGCATGAACAGAGGCTCGCAAACGCGTCCCTTAACCTCACAGAAGCCAACATGCCTGTGCCCGGCTGGCCAGCACTTAAAGACCGTGAACTGCACGTCTTGTAAACCACACTCCGATAAAGCAGATCCCGCAAAAGAAAACTTCCACGCGGGCGCCTGGGTGGCTCAGTTGGTTAAGCAACTGCCTTCGGCTCAGGTCATGATCCCGGAGTCTGGGGATTGAGTCCCGCGTCGGGCTCCCTGCTCGGCGAGGAGCCTGCTTCTCCCTCTGGCCCTCCCCCCTCTCATGTGCTCTCTCTCTCTCTCATTCTCGTTCTCTCAAATAAATAAATCTTTAAAAAAAAAAGAAAAGAAAACTTCCATGCAAACCCCAGAAGCTCCCGCGGGGGCGCCAGAGCTGGGGTCACGTGCCCCCGCCCCGGGCACAGCCAGGCCGGGGCAGGGAGAAGCGGCGCGGTGGGAGGTGGGGTCCTCACAGGGAGACGAGATTTGAACCGGTTTGCAATGGGCCGACGCTAAGCCCAGTGTGTTAAGCGCGTCTGCGAATCTACACAGCACCCACCTTAAACAACTGTGCAATGAGGACCAGAGGCAGGAGGAGCACCCTGAGGGTTGGGGCCGGCCTGCTCCCACCCACAGACCTGGGCTCTGGAGGGTCTGTGGGGAGGAGGTTCTGTTTCAAGCTGGGGGGCAAGCAGGGGGCACCTAACGTATTTCCAAGGGATCAGAACTTACAAAACTGAGGTCCCCTGTTCCTCCCTATCTTCTCTGAATATTGGAACCAAATGGCCTTTTTCCTTAGATTTGTTTGTTTATTTATTTACTTATTTAAGTAATCTCTACACCCCATGTGGGGCTCGAACTCACCACCCCAAGATCAAGAGTCACACGCTCTCCCGACTGAGCCAGCCAGGCATCCCCAAAATGACCTTCTGAGAGTGAGCTTGGGCCTCACTACGTTCTTTAGCACAGGACTGGGAGGGAAAATGCGATCTAATAAAGCATGCACGTCTTCTAACATTTAGGACAGCGCACTGAGGGAGAACATCACTGCAAGGTGGGCCGCTGCCCCCTGCCCACGTGCCAGGCCCACCTGCAGAGAGAAGGTCAGCGCCAGGTCGGTCTCCACTTGTCCACTGGGGGGCAGCACAATCTCATGGGACCGCAGGATCCGTTTGGAGCCCTGGAACAGAGCAAGACGGCTGCTCATTCACAAGGAGGCATCTCACAGTGAAACCCACTCCCCTCAAACTCTCACGGTGAAGAGCCATAGATCAGGCAGTGGGAGGCATAAGCTCACGGGATTCCCAAACGCACCCTTGGGGAGATTTGTCAAGAGCCTTAAAAATGTCCCCACCCTGTCACCCTCTAAGTTCTCCCCTAGATGATGCAGATTACTCACTGCCACATTTAATGTAACTGTCAAAAATGCAGCAGTGGGATGTGGGGGTCACGGGACAATGCTGGGGTGTCATGGGACAATGCCAGGGTGTGGGGTGTCACAGGACAATGCTTGGGGTCACAGGGCAATGCTGGGGTGCAGGGGG